TCAGCATATAGATTGAATAGGCATGGAGAAAGGATATAATCCTGAAGCATTCATTTCTTAATTTTAAACAATGAAGAATAATGATGTCAGTCTGGAGGCTAAGGTGTGCTTGATACATGCCATGGTCTTTGCAATCCTTGCTATGCATCAGAGAGCTAGACAATGACTACCAATGATAGGAGAATCAATGTCTTTGAGTTGAAGAGTATTGAATATACCATGGGCTGCTAAGAAAACAAACAGGTTTGTCTGAGAGAGGGTTAAACCAGGCTGCTCCTTGGAGGCAAAGATTCTGACGCATCATCTGACATACTTTGGACATGTTGCAAGGAGGGACCAGTCCTTGGAGAGGGGCATTATGCTTGGGAGGTTGGAGGTTCAGCACAGGAGAGGAAGACCCTTGATGAGATGGATTGATTCTGTGACTGGATTAATCAGTGTATGTGTGTCAGAGACAGTGAAACTGACAAGGGATAGAGCAGGATTTAGGGCTATGGTACATATAGGGTCACTATGAGTCACAGGAGACTCAATAGCACATAACAACAAGTGTTCCCTTGCTCTGTTCACACAACAGCCTCTTGCTCTAGGTATAGATATCACATGAGCACTATTAAGTATTCTGGAATTCCCAATCTTCTCAGTGTTAGCCATAATTTGTTATGATACACATAGTCAAATGTCTTTGCATTTAAGCATTAGGTTTTGTATATTAGCCAAAAAAGTTGATGGTTTAAATTCACCAGTGGCTCAACAGAAGAGTGGCCTGGTGATCAGAACTACAAACAACAGTATCTTAGGGAGCATTTCTACTTTTCACACAGAGTCACTCTACGTTACAACTGATTTAAAGGTATTTTCACATCATTGGTGTGGAGTCTTAAGTGACTCATAACTGACCCTCTACTGGATCCAAGGTGGGTAAATCACACTGGAAGAGACTGCCAGGCATGCATGAAAGGGTCAAATCTTGAGCACTGTGCCTCCTTTAAGGAGTCATGGTGGCACAGTGGTTAAGTATTTGGCCACTTTATAGAAAAGCGAGTGTTTCAGGCGAAAGGTTGTTAGTTGACCTCACTAAAAAGTTACAGCATTGGAAACCTTCAGGGGAAGTTTTACTCCATCCTCGAGGGTTGTTATGTGTCAGAATCAACTTGATGGCAGTAATTTTGGTTTAGTGACTTGCTTCTGCTTTTCTTTCTTTGTCGTTAACATTAACTCCAATTTATGAGTGGGACACTCTAGGATGAATGTTTTTCCAATCAGTTGTAAATAGCAGAGGAGATCCACCAACTTCTTAGCTCTAATTCTGGCTGCCGGAATAAGGGAGGAAAAGGGCAAGTCAAGGAGTGTCAACCACCAACTTCTAAGTCTGCAATTCAGTAGGTGGCAGAAAACCAGAGTAGAGTGAGAGAGGGGGGCCCAGTTATTCCAATGGCTGCAGAGGCTTCTGAATGTCTCTAGGTGCTATGTCAGCGGAGGCACTTCTCTCATTATGGTGATAGGTGGAAGTTAGGAAGGTATGGAAATAGAACCAAAAGAGAATGAACTCAATCTTCTTTTGCCTTTATTATAGATGTTAGGCACCATGATACATTTTTTATAAGCCTTAACTGAATTTCATCCTTGATTTTATAAGGCTCATTTCACAGATGGATAAAATAAAGTATGCTGATACTCTTCACTGGCATGGAGTCATTCCCAACTCATGGTGCCACTGGGGACAAGGAAGATAGGAACATGGTGATGACTTTCCGAAGTACATCCCCAGACCTTGCATCTGAGTCCTTCTGAGTCTGTATGCTCAGCTGAAACCTGCTTACCACAGCAGCACCATGCACGTCTCCAGAGTTAGATGGTGACTGGCTGTGGTGGAGGTGCACTGGTTAGGTCTCTTACAGAGAAGGGCAAGTGCAAGTGAAGCTTAAATTCATTGCTCTTGAGTCAATCCCCACACAGAGGAACGCTGTAGAACAGACCCTACTTACTGTTTTTAGTCAAGCACTTATCCAATGAAGTCTGTTGTTGTTGCTGTTATGTACCATCAAGTCAGACCAGACTCATAGCTGACCCTCCCGTGGATCTAAAAAGGCATGTAAATCACCCATCTTGCCCCGCAAAGCATCTGGAGGATTTGAGCTGTATTCCTTTGGGTTCACAGTGCAACTTCTTACTACTAGAGTTCAGTAACTTGCCTAAGATCTTACAGCTAGTAAATGACAGAACTACAATCTGAACCTAAAATCTTTCATTCTAAAACTTTTTACATCATGCTGTTTTTCTGGCTAAGTTTTGTTTGTTGTTTTTGTGTTTTGTTTTGAAACTTCAAAATTAACATAAAACTCATAAATTAAACTGTATGTCAGCTTAATCATTGCTCAATAATAATAACAACTCAAATCGGTGAGTTTCAGTTGCCCTGTGTAACTTTACTGTGAAAATGGAAGATTATTATTTCCTCACATGAGATTTACTGCCTCTGAAAACCCACTAGAGCGTCACCTATGGTTGGTTCTGACTTGACTGCACCCAACAACAACAACAAGAGAGTCACAAGCATTTCAGAGGTACATGGGACATTCAACACCATGTCACCTACTTTTGCACTCACCTGCCCCCACTACTCAGAGGAGTAAACAAAGCCCAGAGAACTATGTGGTCTATACTTACTGGTGATCTACCTTGCACGGGTGGAGTTAATACAGAATAATGTCCCAGGGAATACTTCCCTGCCATTCCAGGCACATGCCTACTTCTGTCTACAGGCAGGGCCCATGCACTCTGCATCATGTCTTGAGCGGCTCCCTGCATGTTTCTCAGCTAATACTAATTTCTTTCTCATTGATTATCAAAGCAGATGGATGTGTCTGCCTAATCACTAGTGCGGAATACATGTTTAAATTCTCAGTGCTATCTCAAGAATCTCAAACTCACTGCCTTTTTATCCTTATAAAATGTTCCACAGTGTCAAACTGCATCCATAGGAGGCTGCCTGAAATAGGCCATTCTTTCCCCTACAAAGCAATTTTAATCATCAGAGAAGTATGAACCAGGACATCAGGGTTATCTTTTACAGAGTTCAGATTCAACATTTCTAGATCACTGTATGCTTAATGTAAGGAGCCCTCATGGCATAAAACATTGAAAGGTCAGCAGTTTGTATGCACCAACCACATCGTGGGGGAAGGATGAGTAGAGTCCTCCTGCAAAGATCTACAGCCCCAGAAACCCTGAGAATCAGAGGGTTACTCGGAACCATAACCAATTTGATGGCAGTCGATATACTGAGTGCACTGAGAGGAATCATTATTTAGTGATACCTATTCCATTTTCTATTCTTTTTCAGGGGTGAGGTGATTATAAATATTTTTATCATTTATATGCATTGTGTTTAATGCATGTACACTGTGTCCCATACAGTCATTAATTAACACTATATTTTGTTAATTTATATTGTGGGACACCCCCCAACCCCTGCCAAGATATAATCATACCACCAGCAATTAATTACATGAAATTAGTTCATGAAATTAATTTCACGAAATTCAGCAACTTCATGACTCATGCACTAATCTCCCCCTTTTAAATAGCCAATTGCTGATTTGCTTAGTCCTATTAAACAACTGTTTCCAGTCTGGAAATGACTTGTGTCCAGTCTGAGGAAACAAGGCTGTCCCTTTCGCTAATGATCCTTAGTTTAACTTGTAACCCTGGAGCTCCTGCATCCATAAGCAAACTCCAGTCCAGAGCAAGCCATCAGGTCACAGCAATCAATTCTGGTTCACAGCATGGATCATCTTTTCATCAGCTGGTTGGGTTCTGGTCACCTCATCCCCAGCCACCTGTGGCTTAATTTAAATGGGCATCAGCTGCAAGCTCAAGAGACCACACTTCTCCCCACATTCCAGACCTCTTGGTCTCCACACTCGGCCCTAGCCCCTATCCCGGGGCCAAGTCAAGTAAACAGGCCAGGGGTCCTGACGAATCCCCCAACTTCTCAAGCCAACAACTTCTCCCTGTTCATTCAGGCATCTGTGCCCACTAGGTGGGCAGTGTTGAAGGAACACATCCAAACTCACCCTGTTTCTCTGTTCTATCTCCAGGGCAGCTCTTCCCTTTTCAGGACAATGTCTAGAAAGCCACACTGTGTCTCCCTGGTATGAATCAATGCACAACTTTCTCTTTTATCTTCAACATGTCAAACCCACTACCAACATGTTGATTCCAACTCATAACAACTCTGAGGGACAGAGAAGAACCGGCCTGTAGAACAGTTGCCAGGGCTATAATTCAAACCACAGACCTGCTTAGTAGCCAATACTTAACTCATTGTGCCCCTAGGGCCCCTTCTCTCTGGTCTCAATATCCAATAACATTTTCTAAATAAACACTTGGTTTTATCCTATAAGCTTGATATACTGGAGTGCTAAGTGTTCATTAATAAATTATTCATTGCCAATTTTATCTCTTAAACACTGTCTAGAAGGTGACACTGTGTCTTACTGATAGGTACTAATGAACAACTTTCTTTTTGGCCTGCAAACCCAATAAACCCACTGCCCCCAAGTTCATTCCTCTTCTGACTCTTGGCCGGCAAAAAGCTCTTTCTATAGATTCAATAACATAATATGGCATAAACTAGCCAGTATATATCTCATCTGAACTCAAATTCTTTTCCTTCTAATCGAATTTCCTTAGATATTTCCTTCCTTGTGCTGATTTTAAACATTGCCAAATTCTTTGAGAAATGAGAAGAAAGTAAATAAAAATGGAAGAGAGACAAGATATAATGAAGGTGACCATTTTCGCTAGAGGCCCTGATGCTGAGCTCAGGGGTAAGCCAAAAACCACATTTGTGTTTGACATTGTCCTTTATGTTGTAATTGACTTGACAGCAAGGGGTGTACTGAGCACAACACCTGTTTGCCAGGTTCCCCCACAGCAGACTGTGTGGTTCTGAAGAGCCCTTCCTGCGGCCACATGGATTCAGATGCCATTACCTTTGCTGCGGCGACGACTGCGGTACTGCTCTGTGTAGAACGTCAGTTGGGTTTCATCATCTGCCTCTGAACCTGAAGTCCCTTTGTTTCTCCCAAAGCTGATTCCCCCTGCAAGGAAGCAGAAGCCATTCATTATCTTCTCAGGCATGCAGAAGCCTGTTAAATCCCTCAACCATCCCCAAGACCAGAAAGTACATCTTCCACTTCTCCCTGTAAATCTCAAGTGGCCGAGGAGGCCCCATGATAAAAGGCAAGTGTTAGGATCTGCAGTGAGGCAGATCTGGTTTTCAACCATGGCTGGGTGGCATCCTGGCCACGTGACCTTGAGGAGCTGCCCTACCTTCCTTCCTGAGTCCTGTGTGCTTTATTTCAAAATAGGAACAATAACTATTAACCTTGTAGGACTGGTTTAGAGATTAAAGAAGATATGATATACTCGATATCTCCACGATGAATATGGTCCATGAATCTGAAATAATTGATAGCTATTCATACTTTGTCTGATGAGTCTGCCCCCAAGAAAATACTCCAGCCAACACAATTGCACAAACATTTCACTCAAATGCTCACTATATGCCAGGCTTGGAGCCAGGAACCAAGGAAACAAAGATAAATATGATGCCGTTCTGCAAGCCAGGAAATTATAAGCTAGAAGCCCATCGGGGGCGGGGGGGGGGCAAATGGGATCCTAAGGCGTGTGGAATCTAACTCATGACTTGTGTTTGCCATGCAGTGTGGCACCGCGAACATGGAGGGGAGAGCTATCTACCGCAACATGGAGGAACTGGCAAAGTTGGGTGGAGAAGCGATGATTTAAGTCAGCACTTGAAAGATGAATGGTACTTCAGAGACATGAAAGCATTCAAAGCGAGGAAACAACTAAGATAAGGGCCAGAGGATGGAGAATGTGAGTGTGTGCTGAGTTAAACACTCTCTGGGAAGGAGAACCAGAACCACATGAATGACAGATGGAGGGTCGGGACTCCTCACCACATGCCGCAAGGTTTCAGAGTAGGAGAATGAGTGTGCCAGGAGGGACACTTGGTGGCACGTGGACCTCAGAATCCTTCCAAGAAAGGTGAGCATTTAGGAGGCTGGGTGATGACCCAGGTGAGAGCAGATGTAGGCCAGGGTGAGAGTGAGGGATTGGGTTCAGGAGAAGGGATGAGTACAAGAGATGCTTCAGAAACTACCAAGAAGCCATGGATGAGAAAAGGGAAAGACATTCATATGAAGAACCTTCAATAGTATAATTAGCTGTCGAGCCTCCTTCGGCTCAGGACCATCATGCACGCAGTGATATCTGACCACCGTGATCCATAGGATTTGTGAGGATGGTGTTTTTTTTAAATATGCATTATCACACCTTTTGTTCCTAGTCCATCCAAGTCTGGAAGATCCATTAAAAGATACTCAGCATCACAGCAGCCCACAAGCCACCACTAGCAGGAGGTGCAGGATCCAGGAAAGAGATCTGAGCCTTCCTCATAGAAGGTGGGAATTCTACTACTGAACCATCCTCAGATGTCGACTCTAATAGAAGTTCATTCTGAAGGGAGGGATGAGAGGCAATCTTTTCTTTTCAGTCTCTGTGCTTTTCTGGTTTGGGGATAAGGGGATTTGACAGCGTATTTACCCTTAAGAAGAAGATATGGAAAGAATGAGAATAAAGAACTGATAAACCCTGCTTCCAGAGAGGAAACACCAAGTGGGGCCCTCAAAGCATGCTTAGGGGGCAAGTGGGTGGGCAGGGGAGAGTGAGGACTTTGGTTTGGGAAAATATGCTTTGTTAGTGGGGCTTCAAACATCTTCATAAAAAGGCCTTTTGTGGGAGAAGGGTTGAACATGTTTGTAGAAGTAGTTGCCTCCTGGACAAAGAGTTAAGTGGCTAGAGGACACAGGTGAGAGGGAGGTCACTTTTTCCTTAAATCCTTTGTGCCTTTTGAGTCAAATACTATGTGCAGATATTACTTAAAATTCCACCTGAGGAAGACCAAAAGGTACATTCAGGGGAAATGTTATTTAAATCATAGAAGGATTTACTGTGTCATTTTCTCCAAGAGGGCATTTAAAATAGCGTTTAGGATGCAGCCACTCTCACCTCAATAGTTTAGTGTGCATTCACTTTGTCCAGCACCAATTTATTGTTGAACAAACTACCACACACCTCCAAGACTTGTACACGACGTTACATCCAATCCTCACTGTAATATAGTTGTAAAAGAGAGGAGGCTGAAACAGATGAGGGACTGAATAATTTAAAAGCGATGTATGATAGGGTATTATGGTTATCACAAGAGTCCACAATTAAGGTTGCACAGTGGAATGTACTTGGGGCGGTGGGAGGGGTGTGGGGGGATTGTGTACCAGGGAGGGAGTCTTTCTTTTACGTCTGAAAGAGAGGAGCGAACTGGGGGGGCAGGGGGAGAGGGCTGGGCGGGGAGAGAAGTGCAGCAATAAATGAATGGAAATCCAAATTCTCTGTAAATGTTCATTAAAATTATTAAAAAAATAAAATTTAAAAAAGAGAGGTGGGAGCATCATGGATTCACCAGTAAATTTTCTCTCTTCTATGTCAAAGACCCAGGGCTGAGTCTCAGCCAAAGCATCTCACACACAACCTCTGTCACCTGTCAATGCTGCTATGATGCTGACAACATGTCAGTGGAGCTTCCAGATGAAGTAAGACAAGGAAGAAAGGCCTAGAAATCTACTTCCGAAAATCCTGAGTACACTGACCCCATTGTAAATGAGATTGCCTGAGTTAGGGATCTGCTACATAATAGCTAGCAACAATAATAATTAATAAACTAGATAATAAAAGATTATCTGTTTGGGCAAAGTTATATACCTAAAAATCACACCTGGTGAATAGCCAAGTTAAGATTCAGAGCTACTTTGCCCAGCTCCAAAGTATACAATGATTTTCTAGAAACAGCTCAAGGCGAGACCATGGGAGCGGAAAAATGTCTTTCCACCTTAAAAGTGCTTAGCATTATGGCACACACTTGGTATATATCATTGCATTTTGGATTCATGTTATCTCTGGGAGGGCATCATTATTATTTTTACTTTATAAATGAAGACAATGAAGTTCAAAAGAAAAAAAAATCTTTTCTAATAAAAATGAAGCTGCTGTTTGAAAGCAGGTGTTAACTCTTGGCAAATCTCGCATTCCTAACAATGAAGTGACACAGATTTTTGCTTTAAAATACCATAAAATGAAAATATTAATATTTAGCTCCCTTATTTAAACAGCATGTTCTACTGGGTAGGAAAATACTAGGGCCTGTTTAGAGAAGAATGACATTTTCACCCCACACAAGCCTTAAGCCATGGTGTCCTTGCCTTACTCCAAATCGTTCCCTATCTCTATTAACTAAATAAAGCCGACTTAGAGACCTTAAATGCTAAAGCAGAGACACTTCTCCGTTTAAAAAGCTTACATCCCAAATGGAGTTGGCCAGGACCTTTCCAAGAGGCAGGAAAAAGGAGGCCCCTAGAGGCCAAGAGCACTTTTAAAATGACTATTACACTGGATGGAAGGAGGGAAGAGGGTGGGGGGAAGGAAGAAGAGAGAGAAAGCATGAAGGAAGATGAGAAGGGCAGATTTTATGCATCTGGATATAATCATTTGGTCAAGAAGATGTGATAATGTTCTTATATGCCGTCCAGTCAAACCAACTCATAGCTGACCCTCCACTGGGTTTTCAGAGGCAGTAAATCACACAGGAGGAGATTTCTCATCTTTCTCTCTCAGTACTTCTCATAAAGTAGTTCCCTGAGGTGAGACGTCTGTCATAGTTCCTACCATGGCGGGGCAGCAGTGACTAAAGGAGGAATTTTTCTCCCCCCCCCCTTAATAGCAACTGCGCACTTTTAAACATTTCAGCTGCATTTTCTCCCCATTCTTTCCTCTTTATGTCTTATCTTTCCTGGATAGATTTGGCGTTCCCACGGTGAGCATACAAGCATGATTACTCCCATACTGTGGCAGGTGAGTCCAGGGGAGGGGCCTAGCACATTATGAGTCAGGCTTCCAGCTGAAAATATTCACACATTGTGTCGGCCTTCTCCCGCATCAAACATCTCCCTCTGTATACTGGTCCCTGTGATAACAGGCCAGGCAAAGGTCAACGGTGTTACCTAACTTTCACTGGCTGATTGTAAGGACTTTCTTCTTAGTCTGAAACTTGTCTTCCATGGATGATACTGATAGCATTTAAAAAAATCAGTGATATCATTTCCAGCCTCATGGCAACATGCAAGTCACCACAGTATTGATAAGAAATGGCAACAAAGGAAATGCTAACAAAAGAAATTGATCAGAAACTGTTCTGGACAATGATGAGTCATTGTGGCAAAATAAAAAAAAAAAAAAAGACTCATTTAAAAAAAAAAACAAAAAACGAAGGTAGGAGAAGAGCAGACTACCCAGGGGCCACCATAAACCCATTAGACGCTGTGCACTGCCATAACTTCATCGAAATCTGTGTGAACTTGACCCCCTGCTGGAAAGGATATACAAACTCTGATGAAGGACAGTGGTGGGGTCAAGTAATTTTCTGACCTGTTCACATAGTCTGTTATGAATGTCTAATAAGCCTCTGTTTCTTTTGCTGGCTCTCATTCAGTGTCATTCTTGGGGCAGTGTTCCATCATAATCTTACCCCTTAGACAGAACTGCTCTATTTCTTACTCGAAAAGACCCCTGAACCTCTTAGGAAATCATCCCCCTTGAAAGTAGGGCAAACTGACAAGCCAGGTGGTAAAGCAGATTCATAGAAGGATTAAATCCATGACCTGTGGGAAGTAACGCACCTCAGAAGAAAGACAATAAAATAACAGAGTCAACTATGAGTTATAATTGTACTTCCCGTTAATTATCTGTATAGTATTGGGCAAGGCAGCTAACCTCTTTGACACATGGACTGAGCAAAATACATTGTCAACATTACCAATGACACAAAAGTCTAGTTACTATGCATTTCTGCAACGCCTGTGTGAACTTAAGAGGAAAAAAGACAACCCGTGCCCTGCTCTCAATGTCAGTGGCAGGTGTGCACAGCCGCGGTGAGGTTTGCATCGAAGCTTGGTGTCAGCTAGCT